GTCGCCGCTGATCGTTTCGCGATCTTGTCTATCGTTTACAACGCTCGACTAATTAATAATAACATAAAAAAATTATTATAATAATCGTAATCATAATCGTAATCATAATCATAATAACAATAATAACAATAACGATAATGATAATAACAACAACAATAGTAACGTTAACGATAATAATCATAAGGAATATTATGTGATATAGTAGCAATATACACCCATTCTGATATATAGATAGATAAAGTAAAGGCCTGTAACGAGAAGAGAACTTCTTCGCAACAATTTACCGCGTTATGAGTAAGCCCGTAGGAGGATGAACGGTAGAACAAGAAGAAAAAAGCGCAAAGGTGACACGATTCGACAGTTACGATTTTGGTGTACAACGACGCTCGGTATACTTACACGACCAGTTTCGATCGATCGGGATCGATTGGGGGTCCCCGACCGATTAGGGGATGCACGAACACTTGCGACCGTTGGTGTAACGATGCCCGCAGACGGCCTGATTTCGTTCGATCGACGAAAAGGACTGATTTTTTGAATTAGCCACCAGGTTAGGTTAAAGACTGCCAAGCTTTTCTACGAGATCGAAAATTATTCAATCGTTAGGTACTTTAAGGCTCTTGCTACGTTTTATTCGATGTATACTGGTAATGAAGATACGTACGATGAGCGAGTCGAGCACTGACAAGTGCGGAATCTAGTTTGATAAGTGCGTGTTTCACGTAATGTCAGACTCTGGAGTACTCTTTTGTTATTAATAATATCGTAATTCCCTTTCCCCACCCTGCCCCTCACCCTTATCCCGCATTAACATTCGAGTATACGCAAAGCTTGCAACAGAGTTGGATAAAATAGTGAAGCGAACGATCCACGTTAAGTTCAAAAGACTTCCTTTTTTACAGCTGTACCATCGACATGAAACAATTCTTGGTCCCTTTATCCAAATCAATTATATCACCGTTGAACTGCGAATCTTCACGTGACAGACTTTTCTATACCATTTTATAGAAACGAGAATCAGACATATCATTAATTTTTTCTAACGAAGGTTTTCAGAAGTACTTCATTAAATGTTCACTGTGGAATTCATTCTTTAATATTTCTTACTCATTCCTGTCCTGTAAATGCATAAAACTCCGCAGTTTCATTATTATTCACTTAATTGTGCGCTCGGATAGTGGAACGTTTAATATAGAAATTGTTTCAATGAGCGATGCAGAAATATTATTATAAAACTTACCGTTTCGAGGTTTATCGGCGAAACGTAATATTCACGTAGACCACTGTTTCAATGGACAACCAGCTCACAGTTTTATACTCGGGTTAATTTTTAAGCTTAGGAACAAAATAGCGGACGGAGTCGCTTAGATGTTGGAATATTCATTTCCCTATCCGAACAACAATTCTTCGCGGAAACTCTTTGTAATTCGCGTTTCGTTGGAAAAAAAAGATTGCACGAATTTGCATCACGCGATTGAAGTTCCGCAACGCTAATTTTCTTAGTTGCTAGAATCGTATATATAGTTTAAGCGACGCGGATCGTACGTGTACACCAAGCAATAGCGAAGAATTTTCATCACGAATTACTTGCAACTGGGCTGCGGATCTTTGTGTAAATTCAAATTTTGAAAAATGTAATTGAACCAATAGAACCACTGGTTTTGCTTAACAAATACTAAACATAGCACTACACTTCGGATTCTTTATATGTTTTTTCGAGTCGTACGCATTCTGTCTAATTTAACCCTTCACCTGCAATTCTCTTCTTACCACCTTCATCTTGCAATCTGGATCGTTTATATTTGTAACTGACTTTTGGTTGTTTCTTGCTTTTAAAAAATATCAAAAAATTCTAAGATGTTTATTAAAGTCTTTAATGTACAATTATTCTTTGATTCTTCTCTGAGATATCTATAAAAGTCTTTATTTTAAGGAACAATCGTTCTTTGCAAAAATTCTGCACGAACAGAATTAGAGACAAACACTTAATAGAACTTCGAACAGGAAATTTGAATCTAAACATAAACGCCCCAGATTGCAAACGAAGGTTTAAATTTCCCATAAATGCATAAAAATCTGCAGTCTATTTATAATGGATTACTATGTTCCACGGTCCCAGAAAAATCCCACCGTGAACTGTCAAACCATCAACAGTCATTACTTTATCCAATTCTGTGACAGGACCCGATCGGTTTCATTGCGAATCCGCTTTATCATTTTCTTGTACCGTTCCACGCCCGATCCCCGAGAACGAGCAACAATTTTATCCTAGTACACGATCGACAATCCCCATCGTCGACGGGACGTCAGTTCTTCGACAAGATGGTTAAAACCTTGTACATGTGTATATTCATCGATGCCACGACCGACAACGTTGAAAGTTACAAAGTTTTTGTATGTACATAAAAGAACGACAAGCGCATAGGAACCTAATACGATGTTTTATATTGACCCGATCTTTGCCAAAACATTAGACTATATATATAGATATATACATACAAGAAAAACAAAAATCTAAAACTATACA